GTATTGTTTTTATTGAATTATTTTTCTTTTGTTCATATACTGTTAACGTGATGTGATAAAATTTTTTATGTGATATATATTTGTGTAATGGCAAAATACCAGAAAATCGGTAAATTTCTAAGTTTGTAAAAAAAAAATTTCTTATTTTCTAAATCTGAACATCAAAAAACCAGTAGTTTGGCAAGACATTTTTAATTTCATATTAGGAAACATGATGAAGATTATTCAACACATGATGAAAAAATTTCATGTCACATGGTGAAAAACATCATAAAATATGATGAAAAATATGATCAACATGATGAAAAGTCATCATGTAAACATGATGAAAAGTTATCATAAAACATGATGAAAAGTCATCATGAAACATGATGAAAAGTTATCATGAAACATGATGAAAAATCATCATAAAACATGATGAAAAATCATCATAAAACATGATGAAAAGTTATCAACCTTTTGACTTAGTACGGCTTGCCATAAACAAGTGCGATTTTATTGAATAAAATTGTGGCTAATGTTATCGATTATCAAATTACAGTAAAAAATTAAAATTCGGTGAAATGATTTTCGGTGAGATTGATTTTCGGTGAAACAGCAGTGAAATGAAGAAATGAAATGATTTTCAGTGAAATAGCCCTGTCGGTGAACCAGTGAAATGAAATGATTTTCAGTGAAATAGCCCTGTCGGTGAACCAGTGAAATGAAATGATTTTCGGTAAGATGATTTTCGGTGAGATGACTGTCGGTAAGTTGATTGTTGGTGAAATGATGATTTTCAGTGAAATAGTATATTTAACTTATTTAAGTGTGTACTTGTAAATCCCAATTCATTCGTAGTACTAAATTTATAAATTTTTACCATTTTTTCTAAAAAAAATAGATAAATAAATAAAATTCTATGGAAAAATTCATTCATCGGAATGGTAACTCATTTGATCTGCAAAAATCAATTTCCGATTAATTCTCATAGATATCCGTAACCTTATTGTTTTTACTAATATGTAATTAATTTTAAAGTGTTTCACAAGCAGGGATTGGAATCGATTATCGAATCTTTTTAAGATTTTTCATAGTCGGTCAACCTGACCTTAAATAAAGTTTCTATTTTTAGCGAAATGATCAGCGCTTGTAAATTGCAACTCCTATTCACAAATAATAATGTCCTCATTGTATAATCAATATTTTTCTTATTAATACGTCGCAAAAATGTTTAAGTTGATCTACGTGTCATACAGTATATTTATTTGGCATATTTCAGGGGGTCATATAGGTAATGTTACATAAATCGTAATACATAATTGTCTATTGTGACAAAAACAAATTTTGTTAGTTCAGTACGGTAAATACTAGTCCTTTCGCTAACTCTTCGGACAATTAAATAATTTTCTTAAAACGTAAAGATTTTTAAAATATTTCGCAAAAAATTAATGTTTATTAATATACTTAATAATACTTTGCAATATTTAATGAATTATTATTAATATTATTTAGTAATTAGAAGTTTTTTTGCTTTATATTAAATAAAAATCTAATTTTTTTCGTACAAAAGGTATACTTTTTCCTTTTATTTTGAATATACTTATTAAACATTCCTATCAGTGAAATTAACTCACTATCGGTAAGTTGAACTGTCGATGAAATAATTATCGGTGAAATAGACTGAACCATATAACAATCAATTGAATAAAATGAAAATAAACATGATGCTATATTGTTATCTAGTCAATTAACGTAATTTTATGGAAAAAAAAAGATAGTTTGGGCTTCCATATTTTTTCATCGCTGCAAAATCAATTTTCCGAATAATTAATTTTTCGAATGAAAATCAATTTCCGACTCTTAGCCTTTTGTAGTTATTATAATACAAGAGTTCATGTTTAGAGGGGAGTTGAGTTAGTGTAAATGCTAATGCAAGATTTAGTAAATACTACTTTTTTAATAAAAAAACGTTGAACCCGGCGTTTTCATTAAGAAAAAATAAATAACGTCAAATCTGACGTTTTTTGACTTTTCATTAAAAGAAACAAAAAAAACGTTTTTTTAATAAAAGTTTGACGTTTCTTTACCTCTATTACTGATCATCTTTCCTGATGATGTACATTCTGATATTGTTGTACCCATTTATGATGATACACAGAATGCTTTTGGTTTCTTAATCGCTATGACAAAAGAACCACAAAGACAATTTGAAGATGAATAACGTGTTTATTTAAGTAATTTTGGTGTAAATGTTGTTAGTGAAGTATTAAAAAGAAGAGTTATCGTTGCTGATAGAGTAAAAGGTGCGTTCATTTCTTCTATATCTCATGAATTAAGAACTGTTCTATATGGTATTTTAGCAAGTTGTGAATTAATGGAAGAAAGCAAATAAAATGAAGCTTAAGCTGTATTGGTTAAAACAATACAGGGTTGTGGAACTTCTTTAATAGGTATTATTTTAGATTTTGCGAAATTAGAAAGTGAAAAACAAGATTACGTTGAAGATCCAATTAACCAAAAGAAATTAAATGAAAAAGAAAATGATAATAAAATAGTGAATAAAAATAATAAAAAGAAGAAAGAACAGAAGGAACGAATTGATTTAGTTAAATTATTACTCTATAGAATTTTTTTAGAAAATTGATCACATATAGAGTTTTTTTGGAATGAAAACTAAAAAAATGATCATTTATCGGAATTTTTCCAGAAAATTTTTTATAGGGTTAAAGGAAGTATCTGAAGGCTGAAGCTTGTTTCGAGGGTCAACAATTAGTTACCGCTAGTCCGCTACTAATACTATATATAACGACAATAATAAAATAGCTAATTCTATGAATAAAAACAATGATGAAGAAAATTTATTAATAGAGAATAATAATAATACTGCTATAATACAAGCGAGAAAAAAACGTGTATATGATTTATTACATCCTAATAATCAATCTCATCATCAACAAGATGTTTTACTATGATTGATGTTGAACCAAGAGATAATGGCTCTGAAGATGGTGTATTAAAACAATTATTAATGAATGTAAGTTATAAAAATATAACATTACTTTTAAAAAAGAAAAAAAATAATTTATAATTTGATTATTTAGATTATCGGGTAAATTTATTGATTTTCATTCTGGATTTTACCCAATTACACGAAAATTAGAGCGCACATATCGAAGTAAGTGTAACAATAACAGATATAACGGATTGACAATCCAGTTCCAACTTGGTTGTTTGTTTAATGTTATTCCTTTTCACTTGTTTTCGCGAGCGTAACATCATCTTCTCTCAATTTTTTTTTTTTAAAAAAATGAGACGTTAAGCAAATAGTTAAATTGGAAAGTCTTAATTAAACGTTATTCGAGTTTATTAATATACTGTATATACAGTATATATATATTTTTAAATAGGAATTCAATTTACGAAGAAAGGATATGTCTTGATTTCATTAGCATCATTATCGTTCATCATTAAGTGATCAATATAAGAAACATGCAAGAGTACAAGATACAACAACAACGGATACATCATCATCATCAAATAAAATTCACGCGTTAATAACAATAACTGATACAGGATGTGGTATATCACCATCATTTTTATCAACAAATATATTTCAACCATTTTCTCAAGAAAATTCTTTACAAATTGTTACAGGATTAGGATTATCTATAGTAAAATTATTAGTAGAATAAATGTGAGGTAAATGAGATGTTGAAAGTGAAGATGGAGTTGGTACAAGATTTACAAGATTTAGAATTTAGTTGGATTTTGATCAAGCTAATAAAGAAATTAGAAAGATATTAAAAATGAAGATTTAGGAGAATATTTAGTTTAAATGTGATAAATTTTATAATTTTGTTCTAAAATTGTCACTTGTCGGTATAATGATTTGTCGGGAGTTGTCAGGATTTTGACTTGTCAAGATTTTGTTGTCGGTCTTGTGTCAGTCGTTCAAATGATTTTCGAGATTTCGTACCAAAACCAACCAAACTAATTTATTATTTTTCATTCGTTTTTATTTATTTATTTTGATTTTCTAATTGTAGATATTTTTTTAATTTCTTTCCATTCATTTTTCGTATTAAAAAAAAAAAGTTCATATAAACATTATATATTACGATAAACATTTATCACGCATTGTACTTATTTTTATTCATTAAACCCTTAAAAAAATAAGAAAAAAAGAAAAGATTATTTATAAATTTAACAAGAGACGGAGTGGCGAATATTTTATTATAAAGGAATTTAATATAGGTAATAATTAGTTAACAAAAATTAATAAAATAATATGTATTAAATTATATTTATAATATTAGAATGATATAAATTATATTGATATTGGGGTCTTCGATTACGTGGCAGATTTAATATTTTTGATTGGCCAGATTGGCCACATGATCGTTCATTTTCAGTTTTCAGTATAGGTTCGAGGTTCGTTTCCTCGGTTCTTTCTGTCTCAAGGTATTCTTTTTTTCTTTTATTTTATTTCTAACTTACATTCTTACACTTTATTCCTTACTAACTCTATTTCATTATTTTTAGGTCCTTTAGTCCTTCCGGTGCTGCAATTAAGGTTCACTTTACATTTTGTTTCTTATTTTTTTATTTTTTTATTTTGTTTCTGTTTCATATTTCGGTTTTCACTAATTTTATTTCATATTTTTTAGATCTTTTGGTTCTTTCGGTTCTACAATTAATAAAGGTATGTTTTTTATTTTGTTCTATCTTATATTTCATTTCTTACTAACTTTCATTTTTTTTTTACTTTATAGTTTTATTTTTTACTTGGTTTCCTATCATTATCTTTTGTCCTATCATGATCATTTTTTTTATTTTTTGTCTCTCATCATTTTTCACCTCCTATTACTTCTCATTATTACATCCCATTATTTTCTATTACTCCTTTTCATTTTCCATTATTTCTTTTTCTATCCTGTTTACTCCTATCATTTCTTTTTGTCCTACTCCTCTTCATCTTCCCATCACTTCTCGTCTCCCATCGCTTTCGTCTCCCATTACTCCTTTTCGTTTCTCATCACTCCTCTTCATCTCCTCATCACTTCTTATTACTCTTTTTTACTTCCTTTCATCTTCTATAATTCTATTACTTTCCATTACTCCATTGTTATTTCATTTTTTTATTAGCATCTTCTTCTCAATCATTAATTTTCTTATCTTTCCTTTTTTCTGTATCACTTCATTAAAAATAAATACAATGATTTTTTCTTTAAGATCGTAAATGTGTGATTTAAATTTTAATATTTGCAAATAAAATTTCATTAGATAAGATTATTTTGAGTATTATGTTTGCAAAAAAAATTTTTTTCAAAATATCTTTTGCGATAAAATTTTAAGTTTAGCCGATCAAAAATTAGCTAAGTTGAAATCAGCCGTCACGTATGGGCTGATTTGACGCATTGCATGTGATAATTTCATAGTAAATGGGAATTGGTTACTATTGGTATGATGCGTCAAATCGGCCCATATGAGCCGATTAATAAATTTACTCTTTAGTCTTTATATATTGTACATCATGTGACATATTTGAAAAAAAAACCCAGGCGACGTTTAGCAATTCCCAATTATATTTACAATAATGTAGCTATTTATATTAATGATTTGACGTTTGAGTGTAGAATGAAATTCGGATTAAAATTGATTGATTTTTTAGAAGTATTTTCGAAAAAACTTTAATATTATACATTATGAAAATACTACAAATATTTTTATTAAATTAATTATAAATTTTATAATTATTTCTTATGGGAAAAATTTTGCATCGCGCCCTGCGATTTTCTAAAATTACACTTCAGGGGTGCGATACCAACATATTACAGCTTAAAAATAATTTTCATTACATGCGATACATAAATATGTCACTTTATTAAATTTATATTATATTTTACATTCTACAATAAAAAGTAATTACAAATTACATACAATATTTATTGTTAGCGTTCTTTAAGTTTGTCATTCTTATGATATGCTGCATTGTGACCGCACTGTCCACATATACGACATTTATATGTATTTCGGCTTGAACAACCACTTTTACTACTTTCTCCCTTTTCATGCTCAATACTACTTCTATATCTCTTTGTTGGAGGACGGCCTTTAGTTTTAGCTTTTAGTGGATTTTGAATATTTCCAAGTTCTTGAAATTCATTACTTATATTGGTTGATTCATTAATATGATTTTGTTCCATTTCAATTTCTGTATTGCTTTCTGAAATCATTTCATAGTTTCGCTTCTTTTTATTGATATAATCTTGTAATATAAGTTCCATTTCATTATCATTAGATTCAAGTGCAAGTAAAGTAGCTTCACGGGCCATACCCCAAAATTTACCATACTTTTTTCTTTTTTCAATAGCTTTCTTCATTATAGGTACAGTTTTTGGAATGGTAATAGCTTTACGAGTTGGAATCCTTATTTCTAAATCATTATTAGTATTATTTTCCAGGTTTTCATTTTCATGAAGAAAAATTAATCCAGTTTCCTGCGTCAATGGTTTTCCTTGATAAACATCTTGATACCATCTTTCTGGAATCATTGAAATATGAAAACCAGCAACTTTTGAAAACATCATTACGCGAAAATAATGACGGCAAATTATACCCCTTGATATTGTGGTTAAACATGTACATAGAAACGAAATTTCATTGGAAATTACAATATAATGCATATGATCTTTTTTACCAGGACGAATATCGCAAATTTTCCAGATTTCTTTTACATCTTCTTTACCAATTTCATCAATAATTGACTGTAAAGTAATTTGCTGTGCGTCATAAAAATCTTCAATAAAACCTTCTATTTCCTAACAATAAAATAAATGTTACAGTTAGTATGATACTTAATCATGAATTCTTATTTATCTATCAAACCTCTAACCCATAATCCATACCCTAACCTAACACTAATAACACACCCTAATCCCGTACCCTAACCTAACCCTAATGCCACTAACCCTAATGCCATACCCTAATCCCGTACCCTAACCTAACCCTAATACCATACCCTAATCCCGTACCCTAACCTAACCCTAACCCTAACCCTCTAACTCACGATTAATAATTACCTGTTCTTGAGTAAAATCCAGTTCTGAAAATAAAGCGATAGTTGCTTGGAGATATAGACATTGTGCCATTTCTACTTTAATAGCAGTTATAGTATTTATACATAAATACTTTTCCATTATCTTAATTACAGATGGAAAAAGATCTTCTCCTATTGATACTGAAATTGAACTAGTAGTTGAAGATCGATATTCATGAAATCTTCCCCATTGAATTTCTAAAATAAGTCGTTCAGATAATTGATCAACAAGTTGACACAAAGTGGAATTACTTCTAACAGTTTTTTTAATGATTGCATTCATTCCTTCAACTCAGGAAGTACTTTCAATGCCAGCTGTAAATATTTGTTTCAAATAACAGCGTGCCCATGATTTATTTGATGGCCATAATACTCTAAGAAGATAATCTTTAGCTAATGGAAAATTTTCTAACAAACTAGTCCATCGTGAAAAAAATAAAGGTTCACAGAGACTATTGCGACATTTATAAAACTTTTCAATGAAACTATTATACAAACTTCCTAGTTTTGCTTTCAAATTTTTTGGCAAATTTTGGGCAATATGATATATACAATGTGCATGATAACTGTTTGGAAATTGAAGAGGAATTGCAGCATCCATTGCTGGATCTGCATCTGTAAAGAATACTATTGGTTGTTTTTCAGTTGCTTAAAGTGCACACTGCAAAATCCACTGGTATGTTTCAAATGTTTCGTCACTTACAATAGCTTGTGCAAGTAATCTTGTGCGTCCATTATTATCTATACCAACAAATAAACTTAATGGCATATTGTACATATTTGTTTTAGCTGTGTTGTCATTAATAATTACATCATGATATTTAATCCAAAGAATAATTTGTTCAGGAGTCATCCAGAAGACCCGCACAAGACGATTATCAGCATCAAGTTCAAATTTAAGAAAAAAATGAGGATTTTCTTGCTTTTTTTGTACAAGACCTATAAGAAGATCAGATGCATAATTGTGCATATTACTACGGCTGATAATCTTGATTCTTTGTATGGCGTTTGACAAATCTGAGTCTGTGTAATTAATTTTTGGAAATCGTGCCTTTAAAAGATTGCGTTGTACGGTAATTGAAAGGTTTGCATGTTTAGTCATTATTTCAATTTCATCCATTATTTCTTTTGAAATTTCTCTATATCTACTATTAAATTCACAAGTATCTGATCTTAATTCATGATTGTGTTCATTTTCAAATAAACTAATGGTAATGTTTGTTGCATGTTCTGGAAATGTCAAATTTATGTGCCAGGGGAACTGACGCTTTTTAGTTCTGGTATTTAGTTGATTTCCAGTTTCCTTTTTATTTGACTTGAACTTTCCACCAAACTCACATGTAAATGTTCTTTTTGTGATTAATTGACTGGATTTATTTCTTGATATTCGATACTTATTTATAGAGAAACCATTACGACGCCTATATTCCTCAAGAAATATTTCAGCTTCTTCCCAAGAAGCAAAAGTTGTATCAAGACTAATATTTTCAGTGGCAATTTTAAGAGAGGGTTCATTATCCAAACCTTCTTGAATAGTATCGGAAATATTGTTATTGATATTTTCTTGAATAGTATCAGAAACATTAATATTTTCTTCTTTATCTTCATTAATAATAGATACATTATCCATAATGTGATGAAAGGATAAAAAAAAATATGATAAAGGTGAAAAAAAAATATTTTTATTTATCGTGGGAATAAAAAGGAAAAAGAGATTACGTGTATTATACTATGGGAAAATTTGTATATAAACTATCAATGATCAATCAGTAAAATAATAAGGCGATATTATTAATCATCGCCCAATAAAAATTTTATTTAAGAGCGATGCATGATAATCATCGCATGATATATTTAAGAGTAAGATATAGAATTTGTATATGAAGTGATAAATATGGAGATCACACCCCGCGATGTATACATTAATTCATTTCTTATTATTTTATATTACGTCAATCTTGAACTTATAACCAACTTAGGAAAAATATTTGAACAATTAAATATATTAGAATCTGTTCATTTCATTTATTATTATTCTTTTGATACTCATTTTACTCGATAAATTATTAATTTAACTAAACCATTTGAATCAAAATCTTTATTTAAAAATCTGGTGATTATTTAGAGAATTTCGGATATGGATTTGGTTATAATAATCTATTTTTAAATCAACAATTTCTTCAATTAATTAATTATAAAATATTATAAAAATATTTGATTTTTATGAATTTGAAAATCAAATTATTTATTCAACGTTCAATTTAATTGAAAAAACCCTTAATCATCTTTTACCAACGTAGATCAATTTTCCTATATGTTACTTGATTTTTTTTTAAAAAAAAAATAAATAATAATTTTGTAAATATATTTAATATAATATTTTATTTCTTTATTTAATAATAATAAAAAATTAAAAAAAAAATTGGGGAAAAGAAAAAGAATAAAGCAATCGGTTTAAAAAAGGGAAATTTCTGAAAAAAAAAAAATAAAAAAGGACAATAATTCGGTGAAAAAAAATTTTTTTAAAAAAGAATGAAAAAAAAACATTTTCGGTCTGAAAAAAAAGGTAGGAATGCACACGGATCGAATAGTTTTTGTCCATAATTAGATTAGGCGGAGGCATGTCACGGGTTTTAATTATATGGCAATATGGCATGGGATTTAAAGTTACACAATTCAAACTATTTATACATGCTGTTTCTGTTACACGTGTATTTTTTAGTTATAATTATATATTTCCTTGTATGAAATCATCCAATATAATATAGTAATAAAATAAAATAAATAAATCCAATATAATAATATAATGAGAAAAATAAATAAAATAAAAAATAAATTATTCAAATTACAAACTAAGAGTCTTGAAGAAAATCAAATGTTTAAATAATTTATGATAAGAAAAAAAAATTCAGGTATAATAATGTTATCTAATTTAACTAAATATCTAAAAAATACTACGTTAAATTTAGTAATTTATGGTAAATTTCAAACATTTTAAAAATAATTCTTACTATCTCATCTTGTTCTTCTGAATCATCTTCTTCTATCAGCAGATATAAATTAAAAAAAATACTATAACTGATATAGAAATCAATTAAAAAAAAAATCAATTAAATTACATTATTATCTACTTTAAGTCTAAAAATAAATAATTTAATCTATTTATAACCTTTAGTTATTATCATCTATGTCAACTCCGTTAACTCCCTTAGTGCTTAGTACCGTTAGTACCTTTAACTTCATTAGTACCGTTAACTTCCTTAGTACCGTTAACTCCCTTGGTACCGTTAACTTCCTTTGTACCGTCAACTCCCTTAGTACCGTCAACTCCCTTAACACCATCAACACCGTTAACTCCCATAGCTCCTTCATAATTGTAATTTGGGTCATAATTGAAATAAGGATCAGCTGAGTAATCGTAATTTTCGTCACCTTCATTGGAATCTTCAATGGAATTTACATTGGGCTCTCTAGTAGCATCTCTCATGTTAACACCATAATAGGGACCCGAATGATACTTTAGGCTTAACTGACCAAGAGATACCGATTCAGAACAATGTGGATCTTCAGCATTACATTCCTGAAAGGCATTTGGATCTTGATCAGGATTATTTATATATAATTCTTCACCAAAATGTTTATAGAACCCAACAAATGGAATTGGCCATGATGGAGGCAAACGAGGAATTGGATCACCACGAACTATAGTTCTTATTACTTTTAGGTTATCATCAACATATTCAGCAAATTTGTCATCACCAACTCTTGGTTGACCAAATGTAGAAAGAAACACTTTTTCATTTTTAGCTAATTCTGGCACTTTCTCTATCAGATCTAATGCCGAAAATGTAGCAAGTGCTATGATAAAAAAAAAAAAGACTGTTAAAAAGTTGTAATTAAATTTGTAATTTTTTTTAATTTATTGAACTTACCACCACCTAAACTGTGACCCATAAATCCGATCCTAAAATCAGGCTTTTCTTTGACTAATTTTATAAGATCATCGGTAACTTGGGGTTGAATTTGGTTCCAAGCATTAAGCAATCCATGGTGTACCAAGGCCCTAACAGGTGCAGTTCTCCAAAGGTCGTGATAAATGACAAAGTCAGAAATGTAATTTCTAATACTTCCTGGTTCCGTTCCTCTATATGCTACGATGATTAATTGTTTTTCTGGATCCGTGGCTATGTAACCTACATATTTATTATTTTGTTAGTAAACGCAAAAAGTTAACGATGTGTGGCACAGTAATAATATAAAATACCCCTTGTGTTAAGCCGAGGGTTGTTAAAATCTTTAACCAATTGGGTACCCTTAGTTGCCAAACAGACTTCTCCACAGTTCCAATTTTCAAGAGGACCCTTAGTATAAGCAATAGCAGCGTAATTAGCAAAGCTCTGTAGATTAGGGATTGATGTAATGGAACCAAGAGTATTAGGTACTGGAGCAGCTTCGATTAATACTGATAAAAAGATTAAAGAAATTAAAGAAATTAACTTAAAGGATAATGTGTGTTGTAAAAGATGTGAAAAGGAGTTATGCGTGTATTTGGTAGGAGTTGCTTTGCAACTTGAGGAAATAATTTGCTGCTGCATTGCTTATTGCTTTACAGAGGAAATGTTTTAGTATAATGTTTTAGTGTAAAAGAATGAAATGCTGCCAGAGAAAAAAACACGTTCTTTTATACATTTTTTGGGTTATGATCGCATCTTTATTGAAATTCAATTAATATACCATCATACTTTTTCTTTATATCGACAGATTTGATAAAATACCCCGTAAATAATTCTTAGTGATTGGACACTTTCAGTGATCGGACACTTCATAGTTTATTAATTAAACCATTCCTTTTCTTTATTTTCTTTATTTAAATGACCTTTTTGTCGTAAAGTCTTCTATTAAATTGTTAATTATCATTTTGTAAAAAAGAATAATTTAAATAAAATTGTGTGAATTGTAATTAAAAATTTCCGAGACTTTGATTATCAACTATTTAGCCGTATAAAGCACGCAATCCGAAATTTTATTTATCCCACATTTACAAATGTTTGACATGTTAGATAATACAAATTAAAATATTAAAGATCAATGAACATATATATATATATATATATTGATAAAATGAAGTACTTTATTTATTTATATGAAGAACATATAAATTATATAAAATACCTCCGGAGTTCGGTAAGTAATACCTAATACCTCCCTCATTCATCCCATACGATGAAGATGTAGTACCATTACCTACATAATACATGTATGTTCAAATCAACTAAACATAAGAAAAACTAAAAATAAAATTCCTAATAGTATATCTATACACTTACAAATTATAATCCTAATTACGTGAATTCAACTATGAATGACCATATATATTTGATTTGCAAAATAAAATTCCAAATATCCGATTCCGATTCCGATTCCGATTCTGATTCTGATTTTAAAAACAAATTTTAATGTGAGACAAAATAAAATTTTGAATCCCGATGGCCGTCTAATTAAAAAATAAATTCCCGAAATTGCATTTAATTTAGTTACCAAAACAGGTATCCGATCAAAAGCTCTTGCACGACTAACACAAGATCGATGATAAAATCACGACAATCCAAAATCTTGACAATCCAAAATCCTGATAAGTCATTATATCGACAATTTTGTAAATCTAATGATGTGTTCTAATAAAATAATTTGTTGCAATATGTAATATTTAGTTTAAATGTGTTATAATTTTGTTCTAAAATTGTCAGGATAATCAACTTGTCGTTACAATGATTTCTCGGGATTTTGACTTGTCAAGATTTTGGATTGTCAAGATTTTATTGTCGGTCTTGTGTCAGTCGTTCAAATGATTTTCGAGATTTCGTACCAAAACTCTTTTAATAATTTGAATAGTTTTTATAACTTTAACTCGGTTGGCTTCTGCAGCATGATTATGACTAATAGCTTTTACAAGATGATGTTGATCTTTAAAATTGTTGTTGCTCATCCTTTGCAGTTTAACATACAGTTCACCCTCGCTATAGTGAATTTTTATATAGTGAATAATTTGCTATAGTAAAGAAAAGCTCAGGTACGGATTTTCTATATAAATAATAATTCTTAATACAGTTCACCTTCGCTATAGTGAATCCCTTACTATAGTGAATCTTAACCTTCAGCCCATGAGCTTCACTATAGCGAGGGTGAACTGTATCTCGCTTTTCACAACAACACCAATAGTACATATGATTTCTATTTTTGTCTTTGACCATTCATAATGAAGCATGAACATTAATTTTATGTTTATTACGAATAGAAGGAATAACCTCACAAATATCCATTTCTTTATTGATGAAAAAAGAGAATTTAATGAGAATAAAAAAAAGATTTAATTTTATCTTTCCTTTTATGTATACATTATTTAATTGTATTATACGGTAATTATTAATAATTACTAAATAAAGACAATATTATTTAATAGTAATTTTTTTTGTATTTTATATTAAATCTAACAAAGAAACACATGTTACTAACAAAAAAAATTCCCCCTACTTCATACAAAAGATATAAAGATATATGTAAAAATATTTATAAAATATTTATATTTAATTTTATATATGTCGCGTTATTATGTAACAAAAAAATTTATATATACTGTATGTCGGTGAAACTTTTGTCGGTGAAATGATTGTCGGTGAAGGTGAGTTAAACGCGACCCAGAATAGCCAATGTGATTAGATTATTTCAATATAAGTAAGTTAAACCAATCCAGTTAGATTTTAGAGGCTTCTATAATCACTCTATAATCTAATTATACTTATATACAGTAACCGAAATTCTATAATCTAACTATACCTCTATGACCTATCCATTCCACGGTACATTTTGCCGAAATCCATTTCACCGAAGCCATTTCGCCGAAGGGATGTTTCACCGAAGGGACGTTTCGCTGAAAGGACGTTTCACCTAAAGTGTATTTTATCGAATCCATTTCACCGAATCGTCCATTTCACCGAATTCCATTTCGCCAAATGGACATTTCGCCGAAAATGGTAACGATAAAATTTTAATAAAATATTCATCGCGTAATGAAAATAAAAATTAAATTATTTTTAGAGAATTTTTTTTTCCAGGATATTGTCACTTTAACATTCAAGTAACTGATATTAATTGTTAAGAAATAAATAAATAACTTTATTTTCCTGAAAACATTTTACTCACGAAAAAGTAAGTAAAAAAAAACAACGAGATAGATTTAATAAAAATCAGCTAATTCAAAAATTTTTCTAGAAAACATTTCTTTTATGTATTTAGTATAAAAAACCAAATGGAATAAATAATTTTTCGGCGAAAGGTCCATTCGATAAAACGGCTTCGGCGAAATGGGGTTTCAGTGAAATGGTATTTCGGCGAGACGTCCTTTCGGCAAAATGTCCCTTCGGTGAAATATCCCTTCGGTGAAATGGCTTCGACGAAATGGGTTTCGGTGAAATGGACTTCGGCGAAAAGTCCGGATACTCCTTATTTAATAACTACACTTTTATGGCCAGAATGTAGTTTTATCCGCAATACGTGTCATAAAAATAAATGCGACAATAATTAAACATCACAATACCTTTTGTAATATAAAACGTGTTTTAATAGTCGTGTAACATTGTTGTGTGTGTATCATATGGCCGTCGACAAATAAAAAAATTTGAACAATCACGTGATTTTTGACCAATCATATTTATTAAAATGTTACCTTAATAACTTTCCAAAAATGGAATCATATTATTAGTCCAGATTTAGGTAAAGAATTTACAGAAGTTGCACGAACACTTCCTAATAAATAGCACAATAACCTATTTGATAATATTAAATTTGTGCTCAATTATTCCAATGTAAGAAACTCGTCTATATGAAAAGACAATTTAGGTATTCCAATTGCCAAATTTAAACCAGAAAACGGGAACCGTTGTAAGTCCGGAGCGAGGTATAATAAATAAAGATTTAGAGATATTCTACTAATTAGTAGCATAACGCCTTGGAATTCTGGTAATTTTCTGCTGATTAGCAGCATAACGCCTGGACAGAGAAACTCACGTGATTGAAAATTTACACGTTATTTCCATAGACTAGGAAACGGGAACCGTTATAAGTCCGGAACGAAAAACTAAAATTTGCCGATTTCATTGGGTGACGATCACGTGGCGGACAGAGAAACTCACGTGATCGATTTTTTTTTCATAGTGCGTAGACATATATTGTCCTTCGCTTCGCTCCGGACAATAAACATAGTGCGTAGACATATATAGTCCTTCGCTTCGCTCCGGACAATAATTTTTTCATTGAATCCTCAAAAATACCAAAAATACAAACAATTACCAAATTGTATTTCCAATTTTCCACAAATTTTAATAATTTACTATAAACTCTTTTTAAATATTCTTCATAATTAGACAATTTGATTTTTTTTTTGACGTAAGTTTAATTTCAAAGAATGTATTTACTTTAAAGAATTATACATTTTGTTGATCTTAAATCTCATTACCAGATTTTTCATAATACTGTAATTGTGAGAAATCTCCCAGTTTGATTTTTATTACAATTTGTGATTCTCTTTTTACTACAATTTTGTGTCAATAAGTCAATAATTAATTTTGAGTATAATGTATTTGTATTTGGGAATTTTTAAAAGACGTTCTTTTTTTCAAGATTAGAAAGCAAAAATAATAAATGATAATAATGAATCTTATAAACAAAGGTATATACTTTACAAATATTTGATACAATTAAAATTCATTCAAATTTTTCTTTAAACAATAATATATCAAATCAATAAACAGTGATTAGTCAATAACTTGTAATAGAAATGTACTAATGATCTATGATCATTTATTATTATTCAAGATTTCTTAATAACTATTTTAAATTTTCTCATTGAGACCTGAAAATTGGATCAAAGAATCAATTTTTTTTTGTCCCATATAAGAAACGTTTCATTACGATCTGCTATTGTAGAGTAACTCGGCCAGGATCAGCAAAATAATTGAATTTCTAAAAAATGCGTTTATATTACACGTTTCTATTATAGACGTTAACTTCCTATTATCATAAGTTTAATATTGTTATTTACACTTAGTAACCAGAATTATTGTCTTATTACGAATTCTACTGTGGTTAGTCTTATAAATATGGTCCACTTCTTTCCAAAGTTCCAAAAAAAATTCATTTCCTATCCTTATAAAAATATATATATATAAATTTCAAAACAACGCCAATTACTTGTTATAAATCTGTGATTCTATCATGAAGAATAATTTGTTTGTTATTACTTTATTATGCGTACTTTTGTTGCTGGCAACAAATGTTTTAACACTACCAACTTCTTCATCTGAGAATTCTGAACATGGTAAGCTTGAAAATCTATAATATATTGTAACTTGCAAATTAATTAATTTTAATTTATCTATATTTATAGAAAATACTACCCATATTCTACATAAGAGAAAAGTTAAAGGACAACTACCATGCTGCGAATTCTTTTTTATTTTCCGTTCCGACTAACATCCCTTGCTCGAGTGATGGATTTAATTGTGAAAGTGATGATTAAGTTAAACTAAATTTGAATAAAGCTAATATATTAAAGTAGAGTATTAATTTAGAATTATACAACTGTAAAGAAGTATTGAATTCGTTTTATTTAATATTTAATGAACTTATAGATCCTATTTTCAAAAATTTAACTAAAACTAAATAATAGAATCAGTTTTACACTATTTATTTCAAAATTAATACTATATACTAACCTCAAAATAAATTGCTTTAAAATTGATATTAGATAAATAGATTACATGGGTTCATAACTTATCTATAATATACAGTATATATATATAAAATATATTGTCAAATGTTGTCCATATTCTGTGATAATGACGCTAATGAGTAATGACTGTAGATTATAACTTTTGTCAGGTCTATAAAGACCTGAAAGGGGATAAAGGAACATCCCTTTCATTGTTATTGAAATGTTCTGTCCAGAACTGAGACCTTTCCAGGCTCGACAAGAAGAGCCATTTAATAAAAAGAAGAATCATTGAATAATAATTTAATAAAAAGAAGAACCAACCCTCTTACTCTCAGGGATCCATCTCGACGCGCTCTACCTTTGACCAATCATTATTTCCAAATTCTTTTCACACCTTTAATAAAACTTGATGTTCCTAAGAGCCTTTTTCCAAGGTCTTCTTTTCAAGATCTTCTTATTTCTTCTTATTTAATGGTATAAAAATAAAAGATTTTTTTATAGCATATGTAACCGATACCATAATGGCAAATCCACACTCGTTCGTTTTGTACGAACTATTCTGAGTGAAGCCTTTAACCAATTTACTCTTTACATTATCCTCTTTCCTAATAATACCTGTAAATTCATTAATACTAAGTCTCAAAAAACCATATAATTGAAACGAAATGAAATTCGCTAAAATAATCTCCATACCTTAACTGCGTAATTAATTCCGTCTAATTTATTTCATATACTCGTGTTCAAACTAAACTTTGTTCGCGTAACGCCTTTCAACAATATGTATTTCAACAAAATGATATCAATATCAATCTCATTTTTGATGATGACATTATTCTAATTAATAATACTAAAAGAAGTAAAAATATTGTTGAATTGTATTATTCATTATGCATAGTTCCTAAATTATTTAAAACTAAAAATCAGAATTTTTCAGCTTGAACAAAATATCCGCTACATATGCTTGTCCTCGTCTTTAAAATTCATGGATTTGCGGTTCGAATAACTTTCGTAGCTTCACTTTTGAGGCCGTATTTTTTATCAACATTTGCGGTAAGAGGAGAGCAAACACTGCCTTTTTTCTAGTAATATTACAAATCCCACCTGGTATTCCCCATTTATCAAACCTTTTTTCAATTTTATGTTGAGAGAACCTATGCCAAGAAAATCCTGATTATTATCTTCTCGCTTGCGACGTTAATTTTAAGTTCTTGTAAAAAATAGAAACAAAGGTTTTTCTTTTCAGTCGCAAAAGTAGAAGTACAGTAGAGATTTTTCGCTCGGCTCGAAAAAAAAAAAAAAAAAAATTTGGGTTTGGTTGTCGTACAATCTTGGGATCGCCAAAATTTTAATTCCGGCAATGCGGCCGAATTTGACAGATTTTACTTTAAGACCTAGTTCCAACTTATGAATTTTTATTTTATTAAAACAACGTAAAAGAAAGACCAATTCCAATTTATAGTAATATACACACACGATTTATTTCATCCAACTCCATCAATACATATTATCATGATTCTTTCTTCATGATTTGAAATACTTCATAATCATCTATTGAAAATTTTACTAAATCCCTTACCTTTTTTTCATAACTACGTTGTTTACACCCACTAGAATTATATTCATTTAAACAATCATCATCATTCACATATACTAAAAGATCAGTATCAAATGCAGGACCAAATTCATCACAATAAAATAAAGCTCGATCCAAATCCTTTATACGACTTAAAATTGTATCTTTAACATTATTCTTATTTTTAAAAGAAAATATAAAACTATCTTTCGTTTTACCCCATTCACCTTCACATGAATTCTTCCATATTAAAGGATTATAACCACCAATAATTTCTTCTGATCCTTTTACTTTAATAAATGTAATAGTATGAGGTTTATTATTACATAATGAGTGAAAACTTTTAGGAGTGAAACCATCTCTACTTCCTCTTAATAATAATTTAAATTTATAAGGTAAATAAAAATCTCTTATATGAGAGAATTTATTATTAATACTTGTATTATCAATCCACGCTGAAGTTAAGGATACAATATTTATATTAATGATTTTTGAACAAAGTTCATTAGATCTAGGAAATAAAATATTATTTGGTATTTGACTTTCAGTATCCAAATGAAATTCCAATAATTCTTCATAAAGTTGATCTTTTAAAAATTTTCTATAAGGTCGAACATTTCGAAAAAAATCTTTAGAAGATAAACCAAAAAATCTAATAAAAGGTAAACAATTTTGTAAGGTAATGTTCATCATATTAAATTCATTATCAGACCAAGTTGCAGGATCAGAAATAATTGATGAATTCTGTGCAAGACCCCATTTTAGTACATAATCCCAAATTTTAACTTCATCAATTTTTAAATCATCACGTTTAATAAGTGAGATTAAAGATTTTTCGGAAATTGAAGTAAAATCAAGCGATTTAAATATTTTTTCAGGAAATTCAGCGATATAATCAGTACAAAATTGTTGAAGTTCTAATAATAAATTTGATTGAAAACTTATTTGATGAATAAGTCCAAAATATTGTTCAATCCATTCTGATTTATTTTTAATTAAATACTTTTGTAAATAATCAACTAATTCTTGAAGATGAAGTTGATCAGCGGCAGTCAATATTTTTGAAATATTTATAGTATCTTGTTCGTCTAAAGAAAAGATTCCCCCGTAAATGTACCTATAAATAAATATTTATTAATAAAGTTCATTATTAAATTTAAGGTTATAAAAAGTACTTACTTTAAAATAACCTGAAAGATTTCTGGTGAAATATTTGGTAACTTAATATGATTTAAATTACCATCATTACGAATTTTATTGGAGGCTAAAGTACGTCGTAAAAAAGGAGAGCGGTAACACAGGATAATCATATGAGCACGAAATATTTTTACATCCGGATCTTCACCAACTTCAATTGTAATATCATAATATTCATCATCTTTTAAGATCTCAATATAATTTTGGCTTAATTTTTGAAAAAAGTGCGTTGACATTCCTTTTTTAGATTTAAATGGGAGAAAGAGAATTTAACGTCGATTGAGAACATTAATTGTTTAAATATTGTGTTGATCATTATAGAGACTAATGCTAAAATGGAATCGGCAAATTTGATGCATGAGTAATGAGTATCGCCGTATCCTGTGACATTTTTCATCAACGGGTCACCTCCATTTTTTGTTGAAAAGATGGAAAAATCCTATTCATCACGCTTATTCACGCACTATCTGCCAAATATGCGCCACACTTAATTTCAGTAATACTCTCACATGTATTGTTATGCATAGCACTCAAAATCATGCATAATTTTAACATTTTTTTTATAATAACGTCATTTTTATTCATAACCAATATTTTATCCCATCCTTTTTACTGGCTCTACCAAGATCGGCATGATCCTAATAGGCTGCATAATATTTCAATTTGAAATGTTGTATCTACTTAAGTGAGACAACTCTGAAACTTCTTAGGAGTAAATAAATCAGTTCATGATTGATTAACACAGATTCTTAATTAAAAATTAAATTATCGCAAATTATTATAATTTTTTGATTAGTGATTGCAACTAAATATTGTGGCTGTGATTTTCGGTAATTGTAAAGTTTTATGCTAAGCACTTTTAATATGATGTCCGGATGAAAAATTTAAAAATTTCGGCCGGAATTAAATAGATGGGTTGCTCAAAATTAAAGAGAATCCGGGTCTATTGCCGGTCCGGGCCGGGTATTGTAGTCTCTAAATCTGATATACATTGTGCACCGTCCATACACGTGATTGTCGGTTTTTTTTTGCCCCTGAGATTTCTATTTTATTATAAAATTCGGAATAAATATTAATTTTGTTATGAATTATTTACACAAATAATACAGTTATACAGATATACAATCGTACAGTACATACAGTACATGTTGAAAATACAAATAATTTTAATAATTTTATGCAGATCCGCACCATGTTTCTGTTCAATCATTCTATCAATTGATTCGTCAACCATGTATCGCGGAATTAGTTGTCGGGATCATCGGATTTGATGACAGATAATTTCGGTCAAATTTTTATTAATTATATACAGTATGATAGAAGTGCTACCCAAATTGAGGTTTGAGAAAATGCACATCAGCCACTTTTTAAGTTGCCACCAAAAATGTCATTTAACTTTAAACTATATTTAGACAATAACACAAATGGTAACGAACACATGCTCAACAGTTAGGACGTTTCATATTTATAAAAATTATGTATAATGAAGATCTTTTGGCCTTTAAACCCGATTTTAATTGGTAATATAATTTATTAATGTTTGTATTATAAATTTTTGTTGTCCTTTTCTATAACTTTCGTCGCCATCCATTAAAAAACGCCTTTTCTTTTTTATTTCGATTAATTCTTTCTTACTTTCTTTCTTTCTTTTACTATTCTAACATACAAAGTATTCTTTCTTTCATTTTCTCTTATTTAACCCTCTCTTTTCTTCACTCTTTACTTTACCCAACTGTTACTTTACCTCTATATTTTTTTATATTTTTTTTTATTTTGAAAAGGCTGGACCTTCCAAAGACTTTCGGAACAAACATGTATTATGTAAAATTTATGATATATTAATATATTATACTATAGTATTATTATATTAATATATTGTTGATTTTTTACATATTTGTGTTCTAAATAAGTAATTCTTTCCCTAAATAAATAGAATTTAAATTTAATTGATCGTTTTATCATTTTAACAAATTCACTGTGAATTTTTTTTTTTCATTACGAATTAAAAATTTCAATTCCTTTTCTTGTACATTAGAATTTTTGTAATTTGTAGTATATCATCAATCTATATTATATATTCTTTCTCTCCTTAAAAGTTATTAAAGATGAGTTATGTACCGCCAGAAGAACGAGAAACCAAAATAACTATTACGGGTATGTACTCCCAATTGGCTGTTAATACGGCCATTGGTGTTGGTACTCTCATAGTTTTTGGTTTTTTGAGACCTAGGAACGGAAGTAAGTAATGATATTAATGTGGAATTAAAATGAAAGCAGCGAAAAAGTTTTACTTATATCCTAATAATTGAACTTAATCTTTTTAGTTGTTTATGCACCCAAACAAAAATATTCATCAGAAAAGTAAGTGTGATAATTTTCATGATTATTTTATTATGATTTCTAAATTATTGATTTGTTAACTTTGATTTTTTTTTTTTTTACTTTAGAAAACAACCTCCAAAGATTGAAAATCAAGGAATATTTTCATGGATTAAACCGGTAATATCAGCACCAGAAGAATTATTAATAGAAAAAATAGGATTAGATGCGGTGATGTTTTTGAGATTTATTAGAATGTGCAGAAATATGTTTTTATGGTTATTTTTACTTGGATTAGCAATTGCTGGTGCAAATTTATACGGTACTAGGCAAGATCGTAAACAGTTTCCTAAAACTGATAATCCATTGCAATACTTGAGCATATCATTTTTAAGAAATGTGAGTTATTTTTTTTATTGTGATTGTTTAACTCTTTTAAAAAGCGATGGTATTTTTTTTCTAACTGAATTTCCTTTATATTTCAGTCGCGTTGGTTTTGGATTCATGTAGCGTTTACATGGATATTTTCATTGATCATATTTCGATTTTTATACAAACAATATAAAGAATATTCAGCATTGAAAAAACAATATTTTCGATCAGAAGAATATCAAAGTTCATTACATTCAAGAACAATATTGATCACTGGAGTACCATCAAATATGCAATCAGATGAAGGATTACAAAAATATGTTATAGGAAATTTAAAAGTTAACCAACAACAAGTATCACAAGTGCATATATCAAGAAAAGTTGGTAGATTACCGGAATTGATTGAAGAACATGAAAAGGCTGTTAGAGAGCTTGAATCAGTATTAGTAAAATATTTAAAAGATCCTAATCATATTTCGAGTAAAAGACCAAAACATAGTTTAGGCGGAAGATGTGGAGGAGAAAAAGTTGATAGTATTGATTATTATACATCACGAATACAATCTTTAGAAGAAGAAATTTATAGTGAAAGGGAAAGAATAAAGGAAAGGAAAGCCATTAATTACGGATTTGTTTCATTCACAAATATCGCTGATGCGCATTCAGTAGCGAAAAAATTTGAAGGCAAAGTTACCTTGAATGAACCTCAAATATTGTTAGCGCCATGGCCAAAAGATATTATTTGGAATAATTTAACGGTGACAAATGCTGTCAAGGGAACAAAAAGATTGATCGGATATGCATTCTTTCTTTTATTATGCTTTTTTTGGTTATTTCCTATTGGTTTTTTAACAACGGCAGCTCAAATTCAAAATATAGTTAAGATAGCGCCATTTACAGGAGATATTTTTTACGCGAATGACTTTTTAGCGGGTTTTATAGAATCTTGGATGGGTCCAATGATAATGGGTGCATTTTTTATCGTACTTCCTCAAATATTAAGAATAATATCAAGATATCAAGGAAAAGCAACAAAATCATCATTGGATAGAGCAGTTTTAGGAAAATTATATCTGTTCTTTTTAATTAATAATATTGTAATGTATACATTATCTTCCACTTTGGTTGATTTATACGGTAAAATTAGGGCCACAATAAATGCTGGTAATACAGACTTTAAAGATCTTTATAAAGTTGTTAAGGAAGCGGATTTCTTGGACGAATTAGCGGATTCTTTAATTAAAGTCTCATCATTTTGGATTAATTATATTAGTCTAAGAGGAGTTGGTGCCATATTTGATCTAGCACAAATAGTTTCATTAATTTTAATCAGCATAAAAAAATTTTTCGTTCAACCTACTCCAAGAAACATTAAAGAATTTAGTAGACCTCCAGATTTTGATTATCCTGTTTATTATAATATTCATTTATTTTTCTTCACCGTTGGAATGTTATATAGCGTGATTGCACCTTTGATTTTATTCTTTTGTTTCGCTTACTTTAGTTTGGCCCTTGTGGTTTACAGATATCAATTAATGTAAGTACACGAGATAAGCACGCGTGAGCAACAGTTAACTGAATTCATGAATAACTAATGAAACCTCTATTTTTTTTTACATTTTTAGGTACGTGTTTACAACGAAAATAGAGACGGGAGGAACATTTTGGAGGGTAGTTTTTAATAGACTCATCGCTTCTTTATTATTCTGGCAAGTGATAATGGTCGCTGTGATGAACTTGAAAGGAGCTCATATCCAATCGGTAGCATTACTTCCATTACCTGCAATGACATTAATAGTTAAATTTATTTGTGCAAAAAGATTTGATGCACCAATTCGTTATTATAAACGAAAAAATTCCGATCCAGAATATAATAATAATATAGTTTCCAATACTAACGATAAAGTTAGTAATAGATTTGGACACCCTGTATTAACAGCAGAATTGATTACTCCAATGGTGCATTCAAATGTTAAACATTTATTGAGTAAAGTTTATAATGGTAGAATTGATGAAACAAAAGTTAATAGAAGGGGCACAATTAGAAGCATGTCAATGATAGTAGGCAAAAATAATCAAAGTTTTAATATTCAAACGGTTGATAATAAAGAATTGGAATGGGATGAGCAAGCTTATTATGAAGAACAAAAACCTGGTTATTACATAGATTACAGTGATACCGCTAGCAATTATTCTGGTACTACATACGCGTCAGCAAATAATTTCCCTCAGAAGAATCAGAATCATCATCAACAAAGAAATATGCATCCAAATAATAATCCAAGATTACCTCCAAATTCTCCTAATAGTCCTAATAATCCTAATTATCATAATCCCAATAATCCCAATAATCCCAATAATCCCAATAATCCCAATAATCCTAATACTAATAATAACGTTTATCCTAATAATAACGTTTATCCTAAACAACCAAGACCTAGATATCAATATGATAATAATAGCTCATCCTCGTTACATTTACTTCGACAAGAAAGTCCTGCACCTTCTGTTGATAATTATAGTAATTATAGTGATGATGCCTCTTCTCTTTATAGACAACAACCTAGAGAAATTAATAATTACAATAATTCCGCACCGAGAGGCGGCTACACGCCTCCACTCCCACCTCCAATTACTCCACCACAACAATATAACCAACGAGGTTATAACCAAAACAATTACAATCAAAATAATCATCAAAATAATTATAATCAAAATAATTATAATCAAAATAATTATAATCAAACCAACTATAATCAGAATAATTATAATCAAAATAATTATAATTATAATCATCAAAATTATAATAATCAAAATGATCGAGGATATAATAATCATCAAGGTTATTGATAATATATCACGGAATGAATGAATCATTAGTAAATTAAAATAGAAAATGATTCATCTGGGATATATTTCATTTTGTTTGTTGTAATTTTTTAATTATTTATTTGTACTTTTGTTTTTGTATTTTTTATTTTAAGTAAATAAAATTTTTTTTCCTGTAAACTTTAAACTGATTATATTTTTCAAGAACTTGGTAAATTAAAGAAATTGGCGTATAATCTCAAGGACTTCATATTAATGATTGTTACAGATTACAGAAATCGTTAGCTATTCCCGTCACCGATGATGGTGTTATCGTTGTTGAATTAATCTTTATGTTATCACTTCGGCCATTTCAGCCAATGAAACCAATGTTATAACGCTCTATAAGTAAAAAAATTACCAAATCAAACTCTTCATAAAGTGATACAGATATTTCCAACAGGTGTGAAGTTGAAACATGATCTGTAACAAGATTTTAACGCATGCAACAATTGCAACATTGGACAACATGGTCAAATTTTGCATTGCCTGTTATTGGAATCCAGTTTAAACTTATATGTTATAAATAATTATTAGCTCTTACTTCAAAAGGGGATGCATACTTGTTTTACACATTACGTTACTAGGTCGTTATCATCACGTGATATAGGATATGCAGATTAAATATTACTGCCTATTCCCTTCCCTGTATTACCTCAGTTTCGTCTATAGTTAAAAATAAAATTTTTTTTATTAATAATCTAACAAGATATATATATACAGTACATATACATATCAGTTATCTGTATGTAAGAAATTATTTGATTATCACTTTTCAGAACTTATTAAGTAAAAAATAAAAATTAATCAAATTATACTTAAATTATTAAAATAAATTAATTATTTTATAATAGTAATATTTTATGTAATAAATCTTTAATAATATATAAATATTTATATTAAGTTAATTTAATATTAAATTGAAAATTGATAAACTTTTTTAGTATTATTTTATTTTATTTTATTTATTTATTTTATTTTTTATTACTTTTTTTTTTTTTAATTTATTTTATTAAAAGTGAAAGAATATTATTATTATAATTTCCATTTTTATTTTTTTATATATTTTTTGCCTACTATTTAAGCTAGATAAATACTATACATATATTATATATTTATTACCATTTTTAAAATTATTAGAATTATTAAAATTAAAATTATTAAAATTATTAAAATTATTAAAATTATAAAATTATTGAAATTATTAAAATTTTTTCATATAGTGAATATTTTTTTCAAATAGAAAATAAAAAAAAAAAATACAAAAATACAAAATACAATTTTTTGTTCTGAAAATTTCCAAGTAATATATATGGAAGATATACTAAAAATATCCAGAAAAAAAAAATATATTATATGAAAGATTTTATCAATTTTAAAATTTTGAATACAACCTTTTCCTGGTTTTTGAATAACATCAATTTGGTAAATTTGATTGACATTATGTTATTTATATTTTGGCCAATCAGAAATCTTTTCCCCTTGTACTTACATTTTAATAAGGCCTTCCAAAGTTCATTCTGTTAATTAGTTTCAAACTAATAAAGGAAAATGTTGAAAATAAATAATATCACCAACCTGTAGGTGAACTTCTTAAATTGTCAAATTATTACCATTGTAAAAAACTCAAGAAACTCTTTGCATCCATTGATCCATGCAGATTAATAATATATTACAAAGAAAAACTGCGGATAGAAATATTGTCTAGTTATTTAAAATCTCCCGGAAAATTTCTGCGTCAAATTTCAGAAATTTTCCGTATAATACAATACGGTAAATCGAATGGATTTCACGGGTAAAATCAAATACGTAAATATTATTTCATTGAAAAGGGATGCTTATGTATAAACATTTGACTTTTATGTATTATGTAAAAGGCTGCGGGTAACAATTGTCGAACATAATTAACATATTTCAGACTTGTTGATTTTAAGAGGATAGACGTTCATTAAATGAATTTTGGCGGGAAATTTTTTAAAAAAAGAATGTGTCATTTACTTAAATTGGGTCTATTACATGCAAAATGCAAAGAAAGAACTTTAATGACTGCCTTTTTGATAAACTTTTCATTGTTTGAAAAAAAATCCATTATAAAGTATACCCATTTTCGTTAAAAAAAAATGAGAAAAAAAATATTTTCTATATTTTTCTATATTTTTTTTATATTTTTTTCAAAAAATTTCTCTTTTTTTATTATAAATTCTTTTTTTTTTTTAAAAAAAAAA